GACGTCTCCAGCGTCATTCGGCGTTTTTTTATTATTTTGAGGGTGCACCTCTAGCCTTTGCACAACCAAGTGCGAACTGCAAGGCAGCAGGAAGCAACCCCTCGCCTCGGAAGTGAGGGGGTTAATGACTTTAGTTTTAAAAAGCCGGTCACATCGATCTTTGCCACGACACCGTCATTGGGCTTATGCGGCTTTTCCACGGAAGCCAGGTGATCAGCCTGAAACCCACCACACCCTGGTAGTGCCGCCGCTGTTTGTTCGCGACTGCTTATTTGTTGCGGTACACCACAACCTATTCACGGCTAACCTCATTTGGTGAAGGTATCCCCCTATCCACAACCCGGGGACGCGCCTGGTAGCATTCAGCTCTGCTTANGGAATGCCGGCGTTAATCATTCGCAGTCGGAGTGCGTTCGATCTGGAACTCTCTCCCACCCCATGTCGTCTGTGCACCAAGCATTGAATCTTTTAAACTGAGACTCGATGAAGCACACCTTACCTTCCAACATAAGTGAAGCAGTGGAAGCCCGTATCATGTGACATATTACACAAGGAATTGTATGTATCACTGTCTTTTAGCCACAACACAAAGCTATGGGACAAGAAAAGTATGAGCTTGTAAGTTATTCCCATAATAAATCTTTGATCTTTATTAATGATAGAAGAGATAACAGAGAAACTACCCGGTGATGGGAAAGCAACTGTCGGTTGGAAGTTAAATACGACTCCTCCATCATTCGGATGGACTTGCGTTGAACACGGTCGAGGAGAGAAAGAGCGGAATACGAAGCTCCATACCATATGTGACTGCAGTATTCTAGCAACTGGTGGATTCGGACTTTGTACAAAAGGTGCTTGGTTACGAAGAAACGCTTTGCGCGGAATAGAAAACGTACTTTACGCGCTGGTGAGGTGAGTGTAAAAATAAAAATGGACCAGCAGAGACATTTTATGGGTATACCCAGGAGGGAGAGAGAATTTGTGCAACGAAGGGGCAGCAAGTCAAGTTCAATTGAGGAGAATAAGGGAAAAGTTTCAGGGAGACGGAAAGAAGTTTTGGAAGCATTGAAATACACATTGTTGCTAGAACCTCATGCGGAGATGAGTTCGAGATCGGAGGCAAGAGAAGCACTAATGTCATTGCGATCGCGATCGATATTGGCAGTGACCTGATGGGTTTTTGGGTAAGCAAGAGAATAGTGGAGAGTGGTATCATAGGCAAACGGTGAATGGGCTTAGAGGTTTTGGACATGAGATCGAGTGAAAAACAGAAAAGAGGGCGTAGAACAGGGGATAACTCTGGGGCACTCATTTTTAGGACAACAGGTGGAATACCATCCGGACGGGGTGGTTTACAAACCACGAAAAGTTTGGTGGACCTTTCTTCTTGTTACGATAGGGAGAAGGGAGTGGTTGGATGCATGGGAGAAGAGTTGAACAGTAGTCGGTAGATAGAATGGATTTGGAGGTAAACCGGGAAGCGAATACCTCTGCTTTTTCGTGGAGTTCACAGACGAGAGTATCAGAGGAATTGCAAATGGGGGGAAAACTTGAAGGGCAGAAATTACGTGAAACCGCTTCCGCGAGGGACCAGAATGTTCAGTTACCAGTGGCAGAAGATGTCAAGAGCACAGCTTTGTAGCCGATAAAACGTTCTTAAGTACTGTGTATGATGAGGGAGCATCTGTTTCTGGTTTGCACGAAGCGATTGAGGGGATGTCGGATTGGGTGAGTGGCGCGAAACACGGAATGCTGAGCTTTTGAAAAGTACAGCACAGTTGCAAGCATAATTATACCATTCAGGAGGACCGTGGTTTGCCAGGTTTGGAAAATTGCGGAATATAAAGGTATATAAATTGAAGAATAATTTACGTGAAGTTTGAAACAGACGTGGAAACATTAGATTTGAAACAATCTTTCCAGGGATAAGCAAGAAAATCACAAAAATCATCCCAGTTGGCCGAATCATAACTTCAAAAGATGTCTGGAGTTAGGTAGTGAAACGGGATGAGAGAAGTGAGTGAAAAAGGAAATGATGCAATGGTCCGATAAGTTTATTGGGAGAAGGGAAATAATATAGGAAAAATAAGAGGGAATGAATGTGAGAATGAGGTCAAGGGTGTGGACGCGGTCACCAAAACGATCAGAAATGCGTGTAGGGAGGTCAACTAGTTGACTCAGGTTGCTGACCACCGCTAAATCCTCGGCTTCGTGTTTCATGAACGAAGTGTCTGAAGAGTGTTTCGGCCATTCGTTGTTGTGGATATTGAAATCTACAACAATGGTAATTTGGCTGTTCGGATTTGCTGCCATTAGTGTCCTAATGTTCGAAGAAAGACTAACAAAAACAGAAGGATTGCTACCACTTGGGGAGCGGTAAACGGCACAAAAATAGTGGTCGAAGTCTCATCCATTAGCTGGAATTCATGATTGAAGAAATACAGGTTCGAAAGTCGGGAAGAAGTGGTAGAATCATGAATATGTAGGGGCAGACACCAGCTTTAAGAAGAGTGGAGGAAGTAATCAGGGAACTGAAGATGAGTAGTGTCTGGCAAGTGAGAGATTTCTGTCTCCGTCAAAAATAAGACCAAGAGGGAAGAAGATTGGAGAAAGCGGTACAGAATTACCACTTCGACTTAAACTAAAAATGTTAGTGAAAGCTATACAGAGTTGTGAGTTCGTAGGCAGAGTGCGCGTCCTGTGATTCGTTTGAGCTGTACAGTTCATTTGTGGTGTGAGAGAAGACCAGTAACCCAACCTTGAGACTTGGAGTGGCCTCAATAGGTCGAGCATCATGCAGGAGAGCCGGTCTTATAAGTGTAACATACTCCCAACACTACACGAGCAAACGAATGTCATGGCAGCGCTGAAGGTACATCAATCTGGCAAACACCAGCCAAACGTTATTTATACGTGCCAGAACCTAATCTGATATTCGCCTTCGTTCGTAAAGTGAGATGTAGCTGCCTAAGTAGTAAAATGTATCTACTGTTATACTTCTGAGGTGTAAAACCCACAGATTTAAGCTGCTGGACAGGTGCCAAGGTCGTAGCGGCGTATTTCGGGTTTACTGTCACGAGCAGCTTTTTTTACTACACACTTTCGTGTGCAGAACAGCAGATGGGGTAAACCCCATAGTTATGAGGACCTGCTGTTCATTGATAGAAACCGATAACTTAATCCCCGGGACTTGGAGTGATGAACCACATAAGGCCCCGATGGGTTAGGTGTGGTATTGAACCGGACGACAGCACAGCTGTCTACCGCCAAAGTTAGGTGGCGGTGGAAGGCCTTGAATCTCAAACCATGGGGTTCAAAGCACGCCTGTGACAGCGACTAAACCACTGCGCTCCTACCACCCGACGGTATTATTAACACATTTCGCATTTTTAAGTTGTAGTTTGTTTACCATTCATACACAACCCGCAAGAAAAACTAGCTTGGAAAAATGCGCTGGTTCAATAAGTACTCTGTGGAACCTATACTTTCAATTACGATTTATTAGTACCGCAAAATGTGCAAAATATGAAAATTTCACACATTCACAGTTGAATCGTGAAATTAAATGCTTACTTCAAACTGATCAAATATCTGTCGGTGGTGGTAGTAGGCGTGTGAAAAGATTCGGTACACCCGACGGCAGACGGAATCTAGTCGGTTCACTGAAGTATCTTTGATACTGACCCTATAACGAGGGGAGAAAAAACTACGGAACAACTACCATCACATTACCTGCTGGGAAAGTATTTGGTGCTATTGAGCAAACACGCAGCACCGTCCAAAGTATGGCGTGTATAATCCACAGCCGGACACTGAAACGGGAAAAAATGGAAAGGAAAGATTGTGGTTTCGTTAGTATTTGTTCACGACCGCATACTTGTTACAAGAAATTATCGTTTATCCACAGGTAGTGGTATTACGCTCTGCATAGTCCCCTGAGCACAAATGAAACTTGAATTAGCAGAAGATAGGTGACCAATTTTCAATAGCAACGAGCTGTGAATACCAACGAGAAGCATTGAGAGGCAGCCACATCACAAATCCATAGGCGACTTTAGTGTGGAGTCAGAGTTCAGTTCAGTTCAGTTTGTACAACCATCAACCACGCATAATCGTGCGCCGGTTTTGGTTGCTGTCTTTTAGCTGCCCATTTGGAAGAACACGAGAGAGAAAGTCAGGAAAGGTTACACTAATTTTGTTGAGAAATTGAGTAGATGCAGGAACGCCACTGTTTACGACATTCAGCCATATCCCCCCTGTCTCTAACCATCGGTTGCGATCAACCCGAGGTCTCCAGCCAAGGAGCCTAACGGGACTTATGTGACCCAGACTCCTGGTTAGGGCTTTCATACCCTCATGCCAGGTCGTAGCTTGGCCACCCTTGACTTTCTTTCACCCACTACCTGCCCCCGCGAAAATCGCCCGCCGTGGTAGCCTACCTGGTGAGGTAGAGTTACCAGTTCCATACGTTAAACGTAAGCTGCGGAGAACATACTCAAAATAGCGATATAAAGTCTGTCACTCACCAGAAATGAATGACAACTGAACTAAATAAAAAAAATCACTCCCTTAATGCATGTATTTCTTATGAATTTCTAAGCGTGCTGTTGAAAGACTGTCAAACATTCATAAAACGAATTCAATGGCAGACTTAAGACTTTGTTTCGCCTCAGATCACAACCGACGACAGTCCTATCAGTTGGAAGATTATTTCAGTTTTGCCTGATATCAGCAAGTCAAGCCCAACTCTTTACAGCTTCAACAATACAATGACAAGTTGCCGACGTACTTCTTTAGGAGTTTTGTGAGCAGCACACAAGAATATCCATTGTTCTGTGGCAATCATTTGAGGACAAGACTGTGGAGTACACTGCTCTTGCAAACGAACTGCTAGCCCGTTCAACTCCATGCAAAACTGACGAAGATGTTCGTACTCCCAGACCACTTCGTCTTGTCCATCAGGAGCGGTTAAGATTTCATCTATGTTGTTCCGATTGCGTCTAATAACCTGTTGAATGTACTAGAAATGGATGATAAGCGATGGTAGACGTTTTTACTTGTTGCACAGCCAGAGTACTTTCCATTTCTTCAAAAGGTTCATCGGGCCAGTTACACCATTCCTGAAGAGTAGAGTGAACGTCGAAAAATTGGTTACCTCCGCCTTGGTCCCGGGTCTATTCCTCCTCAAAATGGGTTTTGCAGTGGTCATTTTGCGGAAGAACGATAGTAGCCACTAGTGCACTGAGTAGAATAGCTGCAAAAAATACAACAGTTTAGCAGGTCAAAAGTTAATCGATACAGAAAACGTTAAGCTCATGTCCCAAAACCTAAGGGGGGAGGATAAAGTCGAGTTCTTTGTGTAATCGTAAACGAAAAGGATAGTTAGGATTGGTTTGCTCAAGTAGACGTCTGGTGTGTGTAAGTTGACATAGCGAAGAGATTACTTCATGTTGCAAGCGAGGGAGAACATTAAGGTCAAAGCAAATATGCTGATTCCTATCTTAATTAGATGATACAGGATATGAATAAAGAGACATAAAAGTGAATGATTTACTGAAGATCAGGATTCTTAGAGCCAAAGTTGCTTGAAAACTTAGGTTGATTCGACAAGCTCCTGGTTGAACCAGAGGGATTTTGTCGTGGCAGAAGTTTCGGTCGGATTTTGACGGGTTGACCTCTAGCCCAATGACCTGGGCAACCTGGTTTATACGACTGACAACAGGCTGGAGGTTATCCATGGTGTCTCCAAGTACGAGGACATCATCCACAAACTCGACGTCAGCAATTCATGTACCTGAGTCAAGCTGCACTCCGGGTACTCGACGAGTGCTTGTGGCATTGTCCAATCTAAGGTGTAATTGAATAACACCGGCGATAGGGGACAACCTTGCTTGACTCAAGAGCTTAGGGTTAACTTAGCTGATTCTTCTTCAGAGGTACGGAAGCGTGCCCGGGTCCCTGAGTGGTATTGTAGCGAGAAGGCGACCTGGCTGGGAAAACGTTTATTGATCCAATTCAAAAATAACCGGTGTACGCGTTCAATTATATACATTCAATTCTTGACCGCGCAGCAGGATGGTTCATGCTTCATTCTGTTGGTTTTGGTCCGCACTTGGCACGTACGTTTCCTCTTCTTCCGCGTGCCGTTCCCACTGGTTTGACCCGATCGTAGCGCGAGATACGCTGATCGAGAGCTCCGATGTTGTGATATTCGGTATATATCTTACTGGCTAG